ACACGTAAATATTTACAGGTGCTTACGTATTCAGATATTATTTAGTAACCCATTAACACACTGGAGGGTGGAAATATAGCGCTGATCGCTTTGAAATGTTCCATGAGGATTCAGGTATGATCAAGGACAACGCCTAAAATTTTCGGTGGGGATCAGATAATAATTTTGGGATGAAGTGGACCGAAAACTTATTTTTTGTGTTTTTTCGAGTCGATCTATAGCCACAATTGAATGTCGAACATCACAACACAATCCACGGTGAAGGGAATATGGACAAGTAATTAGAAGGACTGTACTGAATATTAGTAATATTCGTAAAATATGTCAGTGTAAGGAAGAGGTGCTTTTTACCTCTAATCGGGCAATATTGCCCAGACTCGGAATAAACATCCGCAGAAAGTTAGAACTCCGTGGTAGTTGTGTAGGGTACCGTATGGTCGGACCGTCCGACTATACTGCTCCGCTCATTGGTTTAATTTTCGATTTGATTTAAAAAAAAACCAACAGTTTGACAGTTCTTAAAATCAAGTATTTTTTTTTCGAAATATTTTTATTTCAATTTCTAAATTTCTTCTACGCTTGTTAGTACTTTAAATCTATTAAAAAAATATTTTTTTAAAAATCCACGATAATTCTTTAAAAAATATTTGTTAAAGCAGTAACAATACTTTAAAAAATATTTTTTAAAGAATTATCGCTTGTAGTATTTTCAAAAGTATTTTTTTTAACATTTTTTAAGGATTTTTATAAATAAAAATATTTTTATAAAAATATTGTTAAAAATAAAATATTTGTATAAAAAATAGTCCTTAACCTCTCGACGGCTATTGCCAATTATGTCTGTGTACCTATGATTCATATTCCATGTTCTTATACTCCCAATATAGAATTCTTATCAAACTTCGCACAGACCACAAACATGTGGCCGATCGAAGTTCAGTTCTTTTTATTTTATTTATTTAATTTTTTTAATAAAAAAACACAATTAATATTTGAAAAATTCGCATTTCTTTATTTATAATTTGTTTTATTTTTTTACTTAGAATTTATAAAATAAAAAAATTTTACATACACATATACATACATATATATAAAAAAAGAAATAATTTTAATCATAACTACTAATATAACAAATGTAAAAAATAAGAAATATAATTTCTAACACACATACGCACACTCGCACACGCATACAATTATTAATAATTAAAAAAATATATGTGAAATAAAAAATAAATGAGAGCTGACTGTGAGTAATCAGGGTATAGCAGTTGTTGTTGGTGTTTGGGAGAAAACAGTCTATTTGAAATTAGCCACAAAGTAAAATAATATTAAAGAACAAAAAAAAAAATTGAAATGAAATCAACATCCAATCAGCAAATATAAATTTTATAACAAATACATTAATTAGCCAATGATAAAAGTAGGGCTTATTAATTGGTTGATTTCGTGTTTTTTTTTTCTTTTTGATTTTGTTTTTTTATTTATTTTGCTTGTTTGTTGGTATTAAGTACATTTTAACCGCAGTTAATAAATGGATTTTTGTTACAAGTTTTTTATTTTTGTTTTTGAAAAAAAAAAAAACCTTACAGTCTAATCTTAAAATTGTATACATACAGCTATACACATATAAGTACATATTTATTTATAGTTACTCATAAATAACAATGAGTTCTGTTAGGTTTTTTTCATTTTGATTTTGTTTTTTCTATTAATTGGTATAATTATTAAATTTTTTAAAAATATTTGGGATATTTATTTTTTTTTATTTATTTTTTAATTTTGTTATACATATCTAACTAATGATGATCCGTAATTTTCTTTATAAGTACATGTGTTTCTTTAGAAATATTTTTGTCTTGTTTTTTTTTTTTTTTTTAAACAACTGTGAACATTTTTGTTAAGTATCTCGAGAATAATTTTTTACTCTATTGACACCATTTCCAGAGGAGAAATTTTGAAATAAAATTAAAAATCTAAAAAAAAAAAACAGTGAGCGGAGCAGTATAGTCGGGCGAGGCCGACCACACAACTTCAACAATAATCTAACTTTTTGTAGTTTTATTGGAACCCTTTTGACCGACTAGAGGTCAACAAATATTACTAATGTGTAGTACAGCTCTTCTAATTACTTGTCCAGATTCCCTTCACCGTGGGTTGTGTTGTGATGTTCTGCTTTCAATTGTCGCCTATAGATCGACTCAAAAAAAAAAAAAAAAAAAAAAACACACACAAAAAATTAAGTTTTCGGTCCACTTCCTCCCAAAATTATTATCTGATCATCATCGAAAATTATAGGCGTTGTCCTTGACCATACCTGGATCCTCATGGAAAATTTCAAAGCGATCTAGTGTGGTAATGGGTTACTATATTATATATGAATACGTTAGCACCTGTAAATATTTAAGTGTAACTCCCACGTCCGAGTACATACAACTATATAATTGGTATCAATTTGAAGGCCAACCTCTCCTCTTGGATATACTATCGACTTCTCGAGCCAATGTCCATCAGGAGTAAATATATACGGTAAAGAAATCAAATTTTGTCATTTTTCACACAAAAGTCAGGATCCATTTAACCCGCTCAATATTGACAGATCTTTATCAAAACATGCATGCTTATTCTTTGGCCCGATCCCATTCTCTATGTAAAAATTCGCGATGTTTGGGCCATTATTGCGGTCTCTGGAGCAACCAGAAAACCCGACAAAAATAAAGTTTTTGGTCCATTTCACCCCCTAAATATTAACCGAACTTTTCCAAAAACAATAGGGGTTTTTATTGGCCAGAACCCATCCTACATGCAAAATTTCATTGAAGATTGGTCCATAACTGTGGCCGGTATCGTGTTTACAAATTATAATGGACAGACGGACGGACGGACACACATGTCTAGATCGACTCATCTAGTCGAGATATGACGATCGATATACTTAAAGGCGGGTCTAGGACTAATGTTTCGCGGCGTTACAAACTCTTGGGGCTGCACAAAGCTATAATACCCTGACAACATAGTCGTGTAGGAAATAAAAATGCACGCTTTGATACTGGGCCGACTATATGATACCCTTCACCACTTTGGGTATGTTGTATATATGTATCCTTACATTAGCATGTCACTGTTTCCCCGAAGGAACATGTCTTATGTCTTCCTGCAACCTATGATAAATTTAATTTCTTTCAGGCAGATTTGAAGTCGTCTGTGTACCATGGGACAAATTTATGGAAAACTATTTATAGCAAAAATCGGTACTTGGTACGCCGCACTGTTAAAAATTTTATTTCAATCAGGCACCCGTTCGCAATACATATGGAACAAAACGCAATAACGTCATTCAAGTCTCATTTTGATAAGCTGTGCAAAATCTCGTGTTAATCGAACAAACATTAGGAGTTTGGTGCACCATTTATGTCAAAAATCGTACGAATACATATGCATATATCGGAGCTATATCTAAATCGCAACCGATCTTCAATTTAACACACATCGTTCTAGACTTAATTTAATACGCTATGCCAAATTTCGTGCAAATCGAGTCATATATAGGGACTTTGGTGCACCATTTACCTAAAATCGGACGAAAATATATATGGGAGCTATATCGAAATCTGAACCGAACTTCACGAAATTTAACACACATCATTCTAGACTCAATTCATTACGTTATGCCAAATTTCGTGTAAATCGAAGCATACATAGGAACTTTGGTGCACTATTTACATAAAATGGGACGAAAATATATATGGAAGCTATATCGAAATCTGAACCGATCTTCACGAAACTTAACACACATCATTCTAGACTTTATTTAGTACGCTATGCCAAATTTCGTGCAAATCGAACGATATATAGGGACTTTAATGCACTATTTGCCTTAAATCGGACAAAAATATATATGGGAGCTATATCGAACTCTGAATCGATTTTCACGAAATTTAACACACATCGTTCTAGACTTAATTTAGTACGCTATGCCAAATTTCGTGTAAATCGAATGATATATAGAGACTTTGGTGCACTATTTACCTTAAATCGGACGAAAATATATATGGGAGCTATATCGAAATCTGAACCGATCATCACGAAATTTAACACACATCGTTCTAGACTTAATTCAGTACGCTATGCCAAATTTCGTGTAAATTGAAAGATATATAGGTACTTTGGTGCACCATATACCTTAAATCGGACGAAAATATATATGGAGGCTATATCTAAATTGCAACCGATTTTCATGAAACTTAACACACATCATTCTAGACTCAATTCATTACGTTATGCCAAATTTCGTGCAAATCGAAGGATATATAGGTACTTTGGCGCACCATATACCTTAAATCGGACGAAAATATATATGAGAGCTATATCTAAATCGCAACCGATTTTCACGAAACTTTGCAAACATCATTCTAGGCTTAATTCAGTACCCTGTGCTAAATTTCGTGCAAATCGAATAATATATAGGGACTTTGGTGCACCATTTACATAAAATCGGACGGAAATATATATGGGAGCTATATCTAAATCTGATCCGATTTTTTTTCAATTTCAATAGGGTTCGTCCTTAGGCCAAGTAAATGAGCTGTGCCAAATTTCATCCAAATCGGATCATAAATGCGACCTGTACTTTGTTTGCTATTTAACATCTACAGACGGAAATCGACTCAGAAAGTGAAAAATATTTAAAAAGGAACCATGGGTCTATCTCGTTTCATTTTGCCTGTTACAAACATATGCACAACGACATAATACCCTATAACACAGTGTGGTGATGGGTATAAAAATCCATGCCTATTTAATATAATCCTTTTAAATTTGTCAAATTCCCTTGGAAATGGTGTCCATAGAATATTATTTTTTTTTTTAATTTTCAAAATAAATTATTTACATATATTTCTATTAATATTATATTTACTTTAATATTAAACAAAAATTAAAAATAAATTCTAAAACAATTCTTAATTTAATTCTATATGTACATAAGTCTTACAATTTTGTTGTCACTGAGACCATGATGCCTCATACGGCCGCCAAACTTCTTCACCCTCACGGGTTGTGTGTCCATGTTGTTGTTGTTGTTCAACCACCGAACCATTCGTACCGACCACAACATCATTCGCGGATTCATTTAAATGATTTGCTGTTGCAGCACCACCACCACTTTGTCTTTGGTCCGTTTCCATAGAATTTCCACCATCCGCCGTCACTACAACGTGAGAGGATTGATCAATCGCACCACGATTTTGTTGCATTTGATCCTCATGATCTGATGTGCCAATACCAATTTCTATACTTGGCCGATTTCCTGATAGCGAACTAATGGTCAGAGCATTTTCCCCACCCAGATAATGTTCAATTTTATCTGTCCCATGGAGGTGAAGGTGTATCTCATTTTGATTGTAGGTAGAGAATAACTGTGGGTAGAGAACCATAGTAGGGGTGTGACCATGTGTGGGGTATTGAGGTTGTGTTGCACAGCTACCATATTGATAACTGGTATTATAGCCATTGGACCAGTTACTGTACGAAGAATAACCAGCTGCCGCCGCGGCATTATAGGATTCATATTCATTTTTGGGTCCCCCAGCATAGGTGGGACTACACATTGTGGGTTGTATATGCGGCACCATGGCTGTGGGATGATAATCACTGGGCGCACAAAATGTTTGCATATCGGTTATAACTGTGGGCAATTGTAAATTGGCAGGATCGGATGGTAGGGTTTCATAGCCCGGATAGACACCATTTGTTGCGACTGCTGCTGCTGTGGCTGAGGGTGGTGCAGGTGGTGGTGGCAACGGGTGGCTGTGATGATATGAATACGCAGCTGTGGCAGTTGTAGAGCATCCAGTCCAATCGGCGGCACCCATGAGATTATTGTTATCTGTAAAGGAGGAGAAAGAGGGGTTATTGTATATTCTCTTAAAAAAAGGAAGTCTTTGAAAAAAAAATTGGTTTAAAAAATCCACGCCTCTTGGAAGTCTTTGAAAAAAATTCTTTAAAAAATCCACGCCTCTTGGAGGTCTTTGAAAAAATATTCTTTAAAAAATACACGCCTTTTTAAGGTCCCAGAAAAAATATCCTTAAAAAATCCACGCCTCTTGGAAGTCTTTGAAAAAATTGGTTTAAAAAATCCACGCCTCTTGGAAGTCTTTGAAAAAATTGGTTTAAAAAATCCACGCCTCTTGGAAGTCTTTGAAAAAATTGGTTTAAAAAATCCACGCCTCTTGGAAGTCTTTGAAAAAATAGGTTTAAAAAATCCACGCCTCTTGGAAGTCTTTGAAAAAAAGTTGGTTTAAAAAATCCACGCCTCTTGAAAGTCTTTGAAAAAATTGGTTTAAAAAATCCACGCCTCTTGAAAGTCTTTGAAAAAATTGGTTTAAAAAATCCACGCCTCTTGGAAGTCTGTGACAAAATAGGTTTAAAAAATCCACGCCTCTTGGAAGTCTTTGAAAAAATTGGTTTAAAAAATCCACGCCTCTTGAAGTCAAAAAATTGGTTTAAAATCAAACGTCAATTGTAGGTTAAATTAATGACAATAGAGCCAAGCGAACAGATTGTTGCCAAACAGGACAAGCGAGGATGAAAGAAGGAAGGACACACACACACCGAGTTGTGTATTTGCAAGTTACCCACCGTGCCGCCAATAGAAACTAAAAGCCGGTATTGAACCTTTGAACATATTTATGCAAAAAAACAACAACAAAAGAAGAGGAAGGGGAAGTGGAAAGGGAAGAGAAAGGAAGATGGAAGCAGTAGATGAAGAATATGGCTAATGGAAAAGAAAATGAAAACAAAATTGCCACACGCACGAGTAGTCTGTGCTTGATTACAGTACAGAGTGATTGCATGTTGCCGCTGCTGCTTACATGGCATGGTCGTCGTGGACAATGGCCAATGGTCTGGTTCAGTGCCACCATTTGAGCCAAAAAAATAAACAAACGCACCGGATAATGGAATGGACTGCAAAATGAACATACTGACAAACCGTCATATAGCCCAACTTGTAGTTTAAGCCGTGGTGGCGGGGTTATTCCACGCGGGAGCTAAATAAATGTTTACGATGGCACCATGCTGAAGACAAAATGCAGTGGCAGCAACATGTAATGCAACATAATAATTTATTTAGACGCACCGAACTCCAAAACACACACATACACACCAGCAAACTTACGCACAAAACTGTTAATGCAACAAAAACATCTGAACATTAATAATTGTAATCGAGGTATATGACGATGATGGTAATGAAGGGACATTAACACTATGGGTTGGATTGAAAGGACTAATCAAATAATAAACTTTTTCAAGGATCTTGAATAAAAATAATTTTCAAGGATCTTCAATAGGTGTGGATTTTTTTAAAATAGTTTTCAAAGATCACCAATAGGCGTGGATTTTTTAAAAATACTTTTCTGGAATATGCGTGGATTTTTTAAAAATATTTTTCTGGAATAGGCGTGGATTTTTTAAAAATAGTTTTCATGGGTCACCAATGGGCGTGGATTTTTTAAAAATAGTTTTCAAGGATCACCAATGGGCGTGGATTTTTTAAAAATAGTTTTCAAGGGTCACCAATGGGCGTGGATTTTTTAAAAATAGTTTTCAAGGGTCACCAATGGGCGTGGATTTTTTTAAAATAGTTTTCAAGGGTCACCAATGGGCTTGGATTTTTTAAAAATAGTTTTCAAGGATCTTCAATAGGCGTGGATTTTTTAAAAATAGTTTTCAAGGGTCACCAATGTGCGTGGATTTTTTAAAAATAGTTGTCAAGGGTCACCAATGGGCGTGGATTTTTTAAAAATAGTTTTCAAGGGTCACCAATGGGCGTGGATTTTTTAAAAATAGTTGTCAAGGGTCACCAATGGGCGTGGATTTTTTAAAAATAGTTGTCAAGGGTCACCAATGTGCGTGGATTTTTTAAAAATAGTTGTCAAGGGTCACCAATGGGCGTGGATTTTTTAAAAATAGTTGTCAAGGGTCACCAATGGGCGTGGATTTTTTAAAAATAGTTATCAAGGGTCACCAATGGGCGTGGATTTTTTAAAAATATTTTTCTGGAATAGGCGTGGATTTTTGTAACAAACAAAAGGAAACGAGGTAGACGCATGGTTCCTTTGGAGAATATGCATAGAATCACTTTCGAAGTCGATTTATGCATGTCTGTCCGTCTGTTCGTCTTTCCATGTTAAATTGTAAATAAAGTACAGGTCGCATTTATTATTCGAATTGGATGGAATTTGGCAGAGCTAATTGATTCGGCCTCAAGGACGAACCCTATTGAAATTGGGAAAATTTGTTCAGATTTAGATATAGCTCCCATATATATTTTCGTCCGATTTTATGTAAATGGTGCACAAAAGTCCTTATATATCGTTCGATTTGTACGAAATTTAGCACATGATGTGTGCAAAGTTTCGTGAAAATCGGTTCAGATTTAGATATAGCTCCCATATATTTTTTCGTCCGATTTAGGGTAAATGATGCACCAAAGTCCCGATATAACTTTCGATTTGCACGAAATTTAGCACAGCGCACTTAATTGCGTCTAGAATGATGTGTGCTAAGTTTCGTAAAAATCGGTTCAGATTTAGATATAGCTCCCATATATATTTTCCTCCGATTTAAGGTAAATGGTGCACCAAAGTCCCTAAATATCTTTCAATTTGCATGAAATTTAGCACAGCGCACATTATTAGGTCTAGAATGATGTGTGTTAAGTTTCGTAAAAATCTGTTCAGTTTTAGATATAGCTCCCATATATATTTTCGTCCGATTTAAAGAAAAAATATTGTTGTCAAACCCATAGTGTCATTCCAGCACACCATGGACATTGAGACGTGTGTCTGTCAACATTCACCATGCAATTTGATGATAATTTCCTTAACTTCACAATTCTCATTATCTCTCCCTCTCTCTATCTCTCTCTCTTTAAGAAGAAGGGGAGTAGTTACAAATCATCAAATGGCTACTAAGCGATTTTAAAGGCCAGCAACATGCCTGCAATAAGTGGCGGCACAGGTTGTTATGATAGGAGCGCACATTCCGAAAAAAACGATGAAAATGCCCCGGCTTGGTTGTTTATCGCTAATTGAAACATAAAAATGTGATAAATGTTAGTTTCTATAACACACCACTGACAACAACAACAACAACAACGACAACAAAAAGGGGTGATTATTGAATGAAATTACTTTTGTGAAGGTAGTAATTTGAGAGGATAATAATTTTGTTTTGAAAATGAAAATAACTTTGCCGGTGTTTAGGAACACAAAAATAAAAAGCAGAGGGGATGGTGGAACGCCCGTGTCATTGCCAACAAATTTGTTTTGTTCAGTTAATAACCCGCTAATAGAGTTGTCAGCGAGAATTTTTCGCCTGCCACTGAAGTATGCCACAGGAAAAGGAAAATTTGAATCTTTCAAGGAACATGAAAAAAATTTAATTTAATTAATTATTAAGGTGAAATATTAATAATCCAAAGCAAAGAAGAAAAAATTGTGTACACATCGTTCCTTCTTATCCTGAGCTAAGAAATCTAATTAATCAGAAATTTACTAAGAATTTTTCCATGGCAGATTTTGTTGCTCCTTTAGAACCCTTTCATTCATGTTGTGACAATGCCAAGAATTTCATTTATTTATTGACATATTTCATCGCAGCAGGATACATTCATTGTTGTTGAGATTTGTTATCCTTAACCATACATATGTATGTGTTTACATCACATATTCATTTACTCCTCACATGCCTGCATTGGGTTGGAGGATTTCCGCTGTATGTCACAATATTTTCCAATTAGCATAAAATATGGCTAATCGTGTTTGTGACATATTCAGAGGTTGGACTATTTCAAAATTAACTCAGACTCAAGTAGGTTTTTACTTTTTTTTATAAAGGACATCCAATACCATTCGGTCTGCCAATAGGCGTGGATTTTTAAAACTAGTTTTTCAAGGACTTCCAATAGGCGTGGATTTTTAAAATTATTTTTTCAAGGTCTGCCAATAGGCGTGGATTTTTAAAACTATTTTTTCAAGGTCTGCCAATAGGCGTGGATTTTTAAAACTATTTTTTCAAGGTCTGCCAATAGGCGTGGATTTTTAAAACTAGTTTTTCAAGGACTTTCAATAGGCGTGGATTTTTAAAACTATTTTTTTCAAGGTCTGCCAATAGGCGTGGATTTTTAAAACAATTTTTTCAAGGTCTGCCAATAGGCGTGGATTTTTAAAACTATTTTTTCAAGGTCTGCCAATAGGCGTGGATTTTTAAAACTAGTTTTTCAAGGTCTGCCAATAGGCGTGGATTTTTAAAACTAGTTTTTCAAGGTCTGCCAATAGGCGTGGATTTTTAAAACTAGTTTTTCAAGGTCTGCCAATAGGCGTGGATTTTTAAAACTAGTTTTTCAAGGTCTGCCAATAGGCGTGGATTTTTAAAACTAGTTTTTCAAGGTCTGCCAATAGGCGTGGATTTTTAAAACTAGTTTTTCAAGGTCTGCCAATAGGCGTGGATTTTTAAAACTAGTTTTTCAAGGTCTGCCAATAGTCGTGGACAACAAGAACAATTCTTCAAGGTCTGCCAAAAGTCGTGGACAACAAGAACAATTCTTCAAGGTCTGCCAATAGTCGTGGACAACAAGAACAATTCTTCAAGGTCTTTCTTGCATCACTGGTCTAGACCCACCTTTAAGTATACCGATCGTCATATCTCGACTAGCTGAGTCGATCTAGACATGTGTGTCCGTCCGTCTGTCCATTATAATTTGTAAACACGATACAGGCTACTGTTATGGACCAATCTTCACGACATTTTGCATGTAGGTTGGGTTCGACCCAATGAAGACCCCTATTGTTTTTGGTATAGATCGGTTAATATTTAGGGGAT